AGAGACGAAACGTTTCATTAGAGAAGAACCCGTCCAGAAGACCTACACAATTTTTTTCTTTTTGAGTAAAAGTTTAGTTTTGTGTTCTAACAGAGCTGCAGTCTTGCAGATACAGTAATCATTTCTTTAAACTTTATCATTTAAATCTTCATTTAATATCTGAATAAAAAAACAAACTTGTATTTCCTTTAACATTTTGATATTGACTCCGAAAGTTAGCTTAACTCTGAGTAATATCAGTTATTCTGATTTAGACTAGCTTATCTTTGATTAGTATTAACTCTGAGTAGCCGTTAGCTTATCTTTGATAAGTATTAACTCTGAGTAGCTGTTAACCCAATTTTAAGGAGTTACATTAACTCTGAGTTGCTTTTATCCTGACCCAGAGTAGCTCTTAGCTTTTTCTTGATTATTAGTTAACTGCGTAGCTGTTAACATAACTTTATGGAAGTACCTTAATTTTGAGTATCTGTTAGCTTAACTCTGAGTAGATGCTAGCCTAACTTTAAGGAGCTAACTAACTTAGTGTAACTGTTAGCTTTACTCGGAGTTGCTGTTATCCAGACTCAGACTAGCCGTTTGTCTTACTTTGATGAGTTGTTAATTCTGAGTAGCTGTTAGCCTAATCTTATGTAACTATTATAACTCTGAGTAGCTTTTATCCTAACTCAGAAAAGCTGTTAGCTTAACTTGGATGAATTATCTTAACTCTGAGTAACTGCTAGCTTTACTCTGAGTTGCTCTTATATCCTGACTCAAAGTAGCTGTTAGTCTCACTTTAATGAACTGTTAATTCTGAGTAGCTGTTAGCTGAACTGGTAGCCTAGCTTTAAGGAGCTAGCTTGAACATTTAAAATGTTTCCCTGAAAACAACAAACATTTACTTATTTTATATATTCTCACTAAAAACCTAATTGTTGTTTAACCTTTAATTAGTCGCCCCAGAAATTCCTTTAAAAGACTTTCAACATTTTCTATTCTTTGTAAGGGCGTCAAACTAAAGGTAAGAATTTGGGGAAGTTGTCTGACACCCTAGTTTTCAAAATAAAAGTCCCTAATCGTAGCGTCTGGAAACGTTTAAAGGCAGAAACCACATCATTTTTTCCCACGTGGAACAAAAACTATTATGAGGTTAATAAGAAATATATGACTAGTAGAGAAAAGTTATCTCTTAATAAATCATTCTGTTGTCTACAAATCAACAATACCGCAGTAATAAAACAATTCTGGTCATATAAACTAAGAAAATCCAACTTGTTTCTGGTTACAAGCTGCTTTTATAACAAATCTTTAAAAATTCTTGTAATTTTTTTGTAAAAGTTGTGTAATTCTCCTCCTGTCTGCTTATTTTAAAGGCAGACTACTCGTTATTTACAAAGAAACAACCTTGTTTTCTACCTGCAGCTGTGCCGATGGTGTAATCAGACGTCGGCCCACTGTCGTGCAACTTGTTCCCACCCTGACGTCTCTCCCATTTGTACATGTCGCCTGAAGACTCCACCGTCCATCCACACATCCCTGCGTCCTCAAAGTCACACTCAAATGTTTTCCCTCTGTAGCCTTGAGGGAATTTAAAGAAACACAATTTAACTGCATGCCTTGAAGATGGTGACTGAGGTCATATAAAGAACCTACCACAGTCTTGTTCGTCTCTGCAGTCGTCACAGTCGCACACAAAGTTACATTTTCCCTCCGGAGTCTCGCAGCGAAGAGCACAAGAAACAAAAGCTGTGTAATAACAATAAAAACATGCAGGTCCATTTGTTCTGTTTCAACTAAACATGTTCACTTTGTTCTACCGAGAGAATTTAATCTGCTGATTATGGACGTTTGTTGGTCAAGAAATCCAGAAAAAGTACATGGTTTATCTGGAGTATTTGTTAGAAATCAGTATCCTACCTGCAGTAGACAGCAGCTCASTTCAGAGAATCAGAGAAAAAAATTTCAGTATCTCCAGCTACTCAAAACAAAACTCATTTAAGAGCAAATTTCCACTGTCTGATGCAATTCAAACTCAAAACTTTATAAATATTAGATAATTTATTCTCAGAAGCTAATAGCTTAACTTTGATCAGTGGCTAACTGAGTTCTTTTACTTTCCACCAAGTAGCTGTGAGCTTCACTCAGAGTAGTTGTTAGCTTAACTCTGGGTTGCTATTATCTTGACTCAGAGTAGCTGTTAGCTTCACTCAGAGTAGCTGTTAGCTTAACTCTGGGTTGCTATTATCTTGACTCAGAGTAGCTGTTAGCTTCACTCAGAGTAGCTGTTAGCTTAATTCTGGGTTGCTGTGAGCTTCACTCAGAGTAGTTGTTAGCTTAACTCTGGGTTGCTATTATCTTGACTCAGAGTAGCTGTTAGCTTCACTCAGAGTAGCTGTTAGCTTAACTCTGGGTTGCTATTATCTTGACTCAGAGTAGCTGTTAGCTTCACTCAGAGTAGCTGTTAGCTTAATTCTGGGTTGCTATTATCTTGACTCAAAGTAGCTGTTAGCTTGACTCTGATGAGTTAACTTCGAGTACTCGGTTGACTGTTGTTAGTATAGCTGTAAGCTTAACTTTGTTATTTTAACTCTGAGTAAATGTGAAAGTTTGAATTATTTTTTTCTTGGAACAGAATAATTGTTAGCTTCACTTTGACGAGTAGTTAACTCTGAGTAGCTGCTAGCTAGGCTCTGCGAGGCTGTTAGTACAGCTGGTAGTGGCCATACTTTAAATAGCTATCTTAACACTTAAACACTGTTAGCTTAGCCTTGAATAGCATTTAGCTTCACTTTGATGAATAGTTAACAATTAATTGTTTGGTTTATTTACTCTGTGTAGCTGTTAGCTTAATTTGAAGCATTATCTTAATAGTTATTAGCAATTTCTTTTTCTCCGAATAGCAGTTAGCTTTACTTTGTCGAGTAGCTAACTCTGAGTAGCTGTTAGCCTAACATTAAGGAGCTACCTTAACTCCAAGTACCAGGTATCTTAAGAGAACCCATCTCTGAACTGACTCATCTTAATCTGAAGCGTTTCTGACTTGGTGGGAGCAGCAGTTAAAACATTTTTACTGCTGTAAAAGGATTTTTACTCTCCTCTCAGCGCACATCATTTATGACCCAACTAACAGCAACCGGCTCAAAGTCCAGAGAGAAATATTCGGCTCTGTCAAATCAATGYTTAGAGAACTCAAAATATTTTATTTAAACAAACTAAAAACCACAGGATTATTCCACGTACTGAGAGAGGACCCTCCTTGTCCAGATTAAATTCACCGTGATCCTTGATTTGAATGACCTAAATGCAAAGATACTAATAAATACTTTTACTGCCAAACATCTGAAAGCTTCAGATCAAACAAAAACACTTTGTAGAAAATAGTTTACGACAAACAGGATGGTACAGAAACTGTCACCAATTTTTTTCTGCACATTACGTCCCTCTTTAGCAAAAACACCAAAAGACTACTAGACTACTTTCATTAAATGTATTTTGCTCTTACCCCACTGCACTGCCAGCAGCAGAAGAGTGGAGCTCCTCAGATTTAACATTCTTATTCCGTCTCAATCCCAGTCTGAATCAACCTGAGGAGCTTTTACCGATTTCTACATGATAACAGACGGACTTTAAAATCACCCAGCTTGCTCAGCGGCTGGCCATCATAAAACCTCTGACAGACGTGCGTACGTTGCACAACAGGTGTGAATCAAGGTGCYGGACGAGAACCACAAACTAGACCTTTGATAACATACTGTGGTACTAATCTGAGCTGCAGTCCAGATGAGTCCATGATCGTGGACCTGGGTCCTCTCCAAGATCTCATGAGTCCTTCGACAATCATTTGTACAGGTTTGGGTCTCAGATGGAGCTCAGGTACCTGGACGTCTTGTTCCTGAGTTGATGGAGCGATGGATTGGTGGCGTTGCTTCAGTCTCCAGCAGAAACGTTGAGTTCTTTGAGAGACTGCCAAGAGATCACATAAAAAGATCACAGAGYTCACCGCAACCACAGAAAAACCACCAAAAGCCTCTGCAGGTCGCTGAAGGACTGCGAGACTTCAGGTTCTACGGTCTCTCTACCATCTCACCTCAAGATGGAGAACCAGTCGTTGTGTTCCAACTATCAGACACCCTTCTGGGGACYGGAGACGAGGACCATTTGTCAGACCTCACCTTTTGGAGCAGCCAAGTGTGAAGCGTTCGGGATGAGGATCAGAGACCATGGTCTTGAGCCGGAAAATGGTAGAGTGCCTTCTCCAGGTCAGGGAGGAGGTCCTGCCCCAAGTGGAGGAGTTTAATCTCAGGGTCTTGTTCACGAATGAGGGAAGAACGGAGCYGGAGATCGACAGGTGGATTGGTGCTGCTTCTGCAYTGATGCGGGCGTTGTACCGGTCTGTCGTGGTGAAGAGAGAGCTGAGCCAGAAGGTGAAGCTCTCGGTTTACTGGRCGGTCTACGRTCCTACCCTCATCTATGGTCACGAGCTTTGGGTAGTGACTGAAAGAACGAGATACAAGGACACAAACGGCCGAAATGAGTTTCCTCCGCAGGGTGMCTGGYCTCTCCCTTAGAGATAGGKTGAGAAGCTCYGTCATCCAGMAGGGACTCAGAGTAGAGTCGCTGCTCCTCCACGTCGAGAGGAGTCAGTTGAGGTGGTTCAACTGGTTAGGATGATGCCTCCTGGACACCTCCCTGGTGAGGTGTTCCAGGCACGTCCCACTGGGGGAAGGCAAAGGAATATTACCGGAAATACTTCTATTTTGCATAAAACAGGCGTTCTGGTAGTTGCAGTTCAAGTAKAAAAGCTAAATAAATAAAAGTGAACCAGATTTTGATATTTAGGATGCCAATAAATAAACAGAATAGCAAAAAACTCTAAAGGATTGCATTTAAATGTGTAAATGTACATAATTTCTTCAACTAATTTTTATTTGAAGCTAATCCGTAAAATTCAGATGCTGACAAACTTATGTAAAGAAAAGTGTCCTGACAAAATATTGAACACAAATATGTTCGTTTGAAGTCAGAACAAATCCAGGCATCAAATCACAGCAGTGGTTAGATATTAAAGTTTGTATCATAGATATTAAAGCCCCTTCTGTACTAAAAAAGGCTGTGCAATATCGTCAAAATTACACAACACAAACATAAAATTAATGTGATTTTGTCAGACAAAAAAAAAACTACCTTCAGCTGGTAACTGTAACATGAGAGTTTTGGTTTAATCAACTTTAATTGAAAAACATTCTAGTTGCCTCGCAGTCAAAGATAAACTGAGTTATTCTACACATCTATAACAATAATAAAGAAACTAAATGTCTGTCAGTAGTTAATCTTTTCGGGGTAGCAACAATCCTCAAAATCAGATCTTCAGCCGCAGGTTTAATTTTAAATAAAAGCTGTCCRTAAAGTTTTCTCGCAGCGCCGGGCATTGTTCCGGTTTCTAYATGGRGCTCTCTTCCCGTCCTTTCTTCCAGTCTCGAGTTCTAAAGAAAACGAAGGCCAGGACGACCACGAGGAACACAACAAAGAGGAAAACGAGCGTCCCCCACGCTCCCGTGGACAGGGACTTCCTGATCCCAGCGCTCTCCGCGGGCAGCAGGTTACTCAGAGTCAGCATGTAGCCCAGAGCCCAGCCCACCGAGGCCTCTCCGGCCTGCAGGAGCAGAAACAAACGACCACCTGTAAATTACCCGCAAGCTTTATTATTTTAGTTCTTTTTACCGAAATGATGACGAATCACCTGCTTCTGGAAAGAAATGCGRGYGAACGARGCGTCATCGAAGCCATATCCTCTTAAAAGAAGCGTTTTGAGGAACACGGAGGAAGCGCAGTATTCACGCAAATGAGACTCCTCCCCCGGAGCTCGACGCAAAATCTGAAACAAACAAACAAAAAAATGGCTTGATGTGCTTCAAACACTATTTAAACAATGACCGTGTGACGCCATGGCTCATATTTCTAACCTAACAGAACTGATTCTTGTGAGTGACATGAACGTACCTGAGTGAATTTCATGCCGCAGGCTGTTTTGGCTGCTTCCTCCAGCTGCTGTGGAGTGCTAACAGTGAACCCTGTAACCTGCTGCAGGAAGGCGTGGATGTAGAAAAACGCTGAAAATGCCTGATAATAAAATAAATAGCACAAAAAATTAGATAATTTAAAACACACAAAAGACGACATACTGGTTGTGTGCACTTTGTAGCTACACTTAATATCTTAGCACTTTTTACATACAAAGTAACAGTGGTGGGCACAGCTAACCAAAAAGTGAAGTTTGCTTAGTCATAATCTGCCAGCTAAAGAGAGTTTTGCTAATTTATAATCTGCTAACTAAAAATACGTTGGCTAACTCAAAATCTGCTCGCTAAAGAGAGTTTTGCTAACTCATAATCTGCTACCTAAATATATGTTTGCTAATTTATAATCTGCTAGCTAAAGATAGTTTTGCTAATTCATAATCTGCTACCTAAATATA